ACACACACACACACACACACACACACACACACACACACACACACACACACACACACACAAATTTTGCCGCCGGTGACCTTCAACATGTGAAAATTTCCGGTCATTGTGGCGTAACCTGATCAGCGTGCACTCACTCACCCTTGACTGTCCAGAATGCAACCCGAGTGCCAGGATGTAGAGGATGGAGGAGGTCGGATGCGCTCGTGGTCGTCCTGCATCTGAAGCCTGATTGGACGGCGCAGGCCCCAAAAGATGTTCAACAGGCCCTCCACAATCAGCTCCCCCTCTTCCTGTTAGGGAGATGAATGAATTACATGCCACCGGATTGAAGCACTGTCCGTGTGTGCGAAATGGCCGAGAAAGTGACACACATAAATAATACCTCTCTGTGTCTGAGCTGTAGATTCTGTCCTTCATAGTAGAGGTTGTATATTTTCAGATGCGAGAGGATGGTTGCCCTGGAGACAAGAGATGATCACATCTCGGCACTACTCTAGAACACTGGTGTCAAACCCGAGGCCTGGGGGCAAGATCTGCCCTGCCACATCATTTTATGTGGCCCGCGAAAGCAAATCAAACATGTCAACTTCCATGATGCTTGCTAAGATTTCAAACAAAATTTAAAATTCTCATATGAAATAAATAAGAGAGATATTGTAAGCATTTTCTTGTAATCAAACCCCTCATTCCATTAACAAACAATCGTTGAATAAACCATTATTATTGACTGTTTTTATTTGGTCTGAGTCATAATGGCCCTCAAAGGGAAATGGTCACTAAAATGTGGCCCACAACAAAAATGAATTTGACACCCCTGCTCTACTGCATCTTTGGCTGGATTTACGACATAGTTCAAGTGAAACAATTATGACGTGTCACACTCAAGTGGCACAGTTGGGCTGGCCGTCAGGTATAAACATATTGTGTGGAATTGGAATTGGACCTTTTAAGATTGGAATCCTCTCAAGAGCGGATACATATCCGAGTAAACACACAAATACATTCGAACACGTTAAGGTTGTTACAGCTGCAGCTGTTGCGAAAGCGCAGCATAAATAAAGATGTCTTGTAAATCCAAGCTTGACATTGAAATGCAGTAAAACCATAGGGGCCGAGCCGTGTTGAGAATACTGATAAACCGGGAGTAACTGACACCACCCCAAAATGTTCCGAATGGCTAAAACTGCGAAAGTGAGTCGCTTACTTGCTGATGAACTTGTTCTCGCCGACCTGAACCCCATTGTGAATGCCATCCATGGTCACACTGCATGAGAGGAGCTGATGGGAGAAACAAAAGATGTGCTTGATCATTATCGCCACAGTCTCATGACTCCTCATGACCAGCAGAGGAAGAGCACAAAAGGAGCCAAAACACAAGATTGATTGTACGGTAACTATTTTCTCCAGGAGACATATAAACAACTCGGGCCTCTACTGCATACTCGAACACACGCTCTTAAACAAACACATAGTTGGACGTCTTGGCCACTATAATCCTCCTCTGTCTTGATGTGTTTTCTGTATGCGCATGGAAAAAGAAGCTTCTGTTTGGGTGAACAGGTGCAGGGACACATGTGCAACGTATTAAGCCAAATTCTTCTTTCAGCTGCTCCAACAAAAACACACGCCATTTGAAGATACACAATCTTAAAAATACTGAAATATGACTGAAACATGAGATTTTTCCAGATCTGTGCATTCGTTCACTCAGTTCAATGTTGCAATTTAAAACACATTTAGACATAAACAAAGCCGATTCAACCCAAGTGGAAAGCTGGCAATAGTACGTTTCAAAGTGGGTTTTTTTTTCACCGCATGGGTCAAAACGGGAATTGACCGAGCAGCTGTCATGATGTGCAGAGGATGAATCCTCCACGTGGTTTTGAAACACTTCCTCTCTTAATCACAAAGCACGGGGCTTTCACTTCATTCACCAGCCTGACATTTGCCTGTCGACTGTGAGATTGGGAAAGAGTGGGAACTAATCCCAGTTAATAATGTGAACACCACCAACAAGAGAAAAAAAAGTGATGTGTTTGCAGAACACAGATCTTTTTTTTTTTTGTTAAGTTTACCAGTAATATTTGGAACATTCTGTATTATTTCCTGAGAAATGAATGAACACGATCTCACAATGTCAAACCAGGAATATTGGAATTTGCCGCAAGAAAGCAAATTTAAACAAATATGCTCAACTTCATCTTCAATTTCGTCCATGGGTCTTTTGGACATTTTCCATCCATTCTGTCATGATAAGAATTGAGATTGGTAACATTGGTGAGTTATTTCTTTCTTTCTTTTTAATTTTTTTTGGGTGGGGGGGGGACCCCAAAAATAAGCTACAGTTCATAACAATAAACATGCTTTACAAAAAATTTGAAGGGGAGCATTAAGATAGCGGAGGTTATATGCTTTTTTTTTTGTCTTTGTTTTATTTAGTTTGACAGTAACCATCACCTGAGACTGGCAATAAACGCCTGCTAACTTACGCATGTCGTGAAGTGAGTTCAGTCACCTGCAATCATACAGTTTTTGTCTCTTGAGTTTGTACTCACAAATCAAAGAAAAAGAAAAAAAAGGCTGCTCAATGGCTCGTATCTTGAAATTAGTAAACCAGGTCACTTTTATCTCGAGGCACCACTGAATTGCCAAAGTAGACACTCAAAAATGCAACAGAGCAGGCATGATAATTACATGGGGAGTGTGTTAATATTAGAAAACTGTGAACAGTGTTGTCATGAAGGTCTTTTCAATGTGTGCGTGCGTGTGTGTGCAAGTCTGGTCTCATGAGAGCAAACGCAAACAGAAAAGAGGCAAGAGGGGGTGTATAAAGGAAGTACTCCCCTTCCGCTGTATCACTTCCTCCTTTGCTCGCCCAGTCACTCAGGAAACTGCCACACGACGAAGACTTCCTCAATCCAATGCCAACGCAGATGAATTAGCACCCACACCCACAGATCATCCCCACGCATAAATAAGAGGGCCCCCATTTTAACACCGACGCACCACCGCTACACAATCTGAGCCTGTCAATCACCTCTCTGAATTGAATTAAATATTAAAACGCAATCAGCCAAGCGTTATCAATATTTCAACACCGTTCTGTCACACCTCAACGGGTGGCGTCAAGCTACAAAATGGAGGTGATGATACTCTTTAGTAAAGCAGCCGTGGTCTTGGGGCAGCCATTGTTGTGGGCTCATTACAGCCTGGCTGATGTCACAATCAGGGGTTCCGTGGTTCAATCGAATTTGATGCTCACAACACAGGATTTGCCGTCGTAAACAGTGAACAGGTTAAACATTTACGATCGTTTGCCCTTCGGTGAGACATGAGAGGGGTTCGAATGGACATCTCAGTAGACTGAATTCCCTCGTGGCTCATTACGGCATCACCCAGTTGAAAGCTTCTGTCTCCTCCCCACTTTTCGCCATTGCCCACTGCTCCTTTGTGGGCGCATGTCTACATTCTACAAACAGTTTAGATTCATGGGTTTTCCAGTCTGCGTCTCCCATCTAAACTCTCTCCTTTTGTGTGTGGATGTGAAAGAGCGCAAATCATTCTGCATGTAATTAAAAGGCATGACCACGACTTCCTAGCTTCCAAGTCCCCATCACCCTGCTCTCTCAATGACAAGCACACATGCCTGTCTTTTTTTTTTAACTGCTATGGGTTTCTTTTAATGAGATGAATGCCTTTTAATACCCTCCTCCCGACCCCTGTAACCCTCCGAAACTCTGCAGATCGCTTCTATTGTCAATAGTGTCATAGCAACCCCAGAAACATTGAACCAAAAATATAGTTCCTCCTGCTTCCCATTAGACGTGGCAGGGGCCATTTAAAGCTTGGCAGGCATGACTGAAAGAGAGATTAGGTTGTGTCAAAAGATGCTACCGCAGCAGCACAAATGTACTTTTGACTCAGGACAACCACCATGTTGTGTAATTTATACATCCCGCATACAATTGAACCATAGTGCCTCTCATGTCTTCCGAATGAGTCCATAAAATGTATTAATTGAAGATGTTGAAGGCACGTATTTTTACACACACAAAAATCTCTGGCACACCACAAAACAAAAATGTCACAAAAACTAAGGAACAAGTTAATTTTGTACCGTGTGTCATCTACTGGAGGAGTACAGCTCAGGTCCAGACACCCACACGCGGGCTTGCTAATGTTACACGCTATCCCAGCGAGTTTATCCTCTTGAAGGCAAGTATGTAACACACAGATATGGCAACACAATCAGTATATTTTCTTCGTATTGTTTTAATAATTTTAAATGTTTTTAAAGCCTATTTTAGCTGACTTCAGAGGATTGGTAGGCTGGAATGACTGACAGCCAACTGTCCAGCCCAAATTGATAGATGATGGATCGATGGTGTGGGACAAGTAAAAGCGAGGCTGCACCAAAACCGGTGCAGAAACTGTAAGTCTGAGCAGTACAAAAAAAAAAAAAAAAAAAGAGCAATCAACATCTGTACCGTTTATGCCGTTCATGGTCCTGAGGCACTGGAGCCTATCAAAGCTTACTTAAGGCGAAAAGGTGGCCGACACCCTGGATTGGTCGTCAGTGAAATGAAAGACACAGCCAGACAACCGTTCACACTTGCACTACACACCGTCATTAACGGCGAATTGAAAACAGACGTCCAAACCACTATACCATCATGGATGTGCATCTAATAAATTAATCAAAAGCAAATCTCTCATATTGTAATGTGTGTAACGGTCATATTTTTAAGGTAAACGTCAGAGTATTAAAAAACAAAAACAAAAAAAAAAAACTTAACATCTGAGTAAGTGTAACCTTACGGCTTATTATTACGTAGTCAGTCACAGGCTCGGCGCATTCCCACTTTGATGCCTCTCCAAGCTTTAGACGAAGCCCACACTTCAAGATGATTGTACTGGGCTAGCATCCCTTGAACGAGGTGTTCCGCATGATAATTTTAAACAACAAAAAAACCCCACGAAAATGGTGACTGTTTTCGGTTAAAAGCGTTTAAAATCTTTTCAACAAACACACACAATGCCGCAGTCCATTCAGTGTTCATATTAAAGAACTGCTTACCCTAAACTCCGGGGACGTTGTCGGCGACGTCAACGGTTTGTGTTCCGTTTCTCTCCCGTGGTCGTGTTGCTGGGAGTCGCCGGTTGAACTGACTGTGGTCGGCTCTCGGTTCGTCCGCCCACGGTCGCCGTTGCTCGGTCTGCCCGCCTTATGGGGCTCAGACTCCGACACGGACAGAGAGAGTACATCTGTCGTGGCGGGCGACGGAGCTCGCTCGCGCCTCCCTGGCAGCCAATCACGGCGCGGCGCCCCCCAACGAGTCTATTGTGCACGAGACTCGCTCACACTTGAATGGAAGCCTCTTAGAACAATGGACGAGACCAGCAGCCAAATAGTGAGCGTCCCCTTGTTATTCGGAAAGAGCACGTGGTTCCTTGAGATGGGAGTACAGTATAAAAAGTATCAAAGAAAACATGCAACGTGGCAGTTTGGCTTTTTATTAGCTTTGCTTTCAACTTGCATATATTTTAATAAAACAGATGAGATACAGTTGTGGGGCAACACTGACCTACATCTACAACCTACATTTTAACATTTGCTCCATAGAATTGTATCAACTGTTGTGGACTGTTGCGTAACAACACTTCATTTTTACTTCACTTCTGCAAAAGGATTTTATTTTTCAATTGATTGTATCGGTTATAGGTCAAATTAATGACAGCTTTTGAAATTATTTATCTTTTGCCATTTTTTAATAACACAAAACCTGGCATTTAAGATGTATAGACTTTTATATTCTCACTACATTTACCATAAAACTTTTTTAAAAATTCACAATGAATGTGTGGAGACAAAATTGGAACCAGAGTGAATATTTGACATACTGTACGATTTTTATTCATTGACAGGAGGTGAGTTGTTGAAAACAGGCCCATAAATTTTGGGAAGGTTTCAAAACTACTTCATTAGCATAGTAACATAAAATTTCCATTGATTGGTCAGTCATGAATTAATAACATGATCCTAATGAGTTGAAAGACTGTAGATTTGTGTATATGAAAGCAGAGGTCTGCACATAGATTTATATTTTAGTATAAAATTAGGACAAGAAAAAAAACATCATACATTCTGTGATTTCTTATTAAATAGTATTAGAAACAAAGAATCAACCATTTTTGTTGCTACAATTAGTTTTCACAATTTCTCTTCCCAGAAGCAAGTTAAATATACATATACTCTATTTTCTAAGTTTGCCTCGTCATTTGATTTTTGTATTTCTTAACAATCCATCCATTATCTGTACCACTCATCCTCACGAGGGTCGCGGGCATGCTGGAGCCTCCTATCCCAGCTGTCATCGGGCAGTAGGCGGGGTACAGCCTGAACTGTTTGCCAGTGTGTTAACAAAGGGAAGCAATTTTAAAAGGAAAACAAAATAAAAAAAAAAAAAAAAATAGTCACAAATATAGAACAGGTAGTACACCGAAAGATTATCGTACATGTCCCCTTCATAATAATCGAAAGCAACGGATGTCATTGTGTGCTTCTGGCCATCTTATTAAGAACCATCCACTGCTTCGTCACTAAACCAGTAAACATATCAATGGAGGAGGTCCGGTTTTGTACAGGTCATTATTTTTTTGACAGAGTTATGTGATCAAATCCAAGTGAAGTTAGGTTGAGGCACGTCAAACTATCTTATGATAAAGTGGGTTTTTGTGACAACCACAGCTTCGGTCAGCTCGTAATAAGGGGACCAGGTCTTTTGTTTTCTCCTGCGGCCATAAACTTTGACAGTCAGCATCTCCAGGGAGGAAAACAGGTACATCGAACAAGAGGACTCACTTGCAGGACAGCACAGGAAGGTGTGTCTTGTGTGCTTGAGATAAGTGTCATTTGCATGAGTGTAAATATGACTGCTTGCATGTTGTGTGCATGACACTGTAGTCAAGCATACAAAAGTTTTTTTTTCTTTTTTAATGGATGATTCCAGCAACAATTGAACAGCTAAGGAAATGCCAGTTAAGAATTTCATTCAGTGAGTGAAACTAAGTAGATTGTACGTTTTGAAATATTGAAATGACATAAGCCGGTATATTAGTCGTACAATGGAATGATTCGCAATCATTGTGAAGTGAGGGATCATCAGGTGTACCATGGGAAATTATTCAATTTTAAAGTCCCCTTGTTTAATGCAAACAAACAATAGGAAATATATTCTTTATCCTCTGTGAAGAACGTTTAACATTACCGTGGCTCGTTGAGAAGCTGAGAACATCTTCATTTAGTGCCATCTGTATGTCTGTACAATACATAAACACCAGAAGGAGCAGCACAATGCCGATTGAATTCAAGCAACTAAAAAAACAAAAAAAAAAGTGGCAAACCTTTAGAATTTTTCTTTTTAACATTCTAATTAATTATATAATTAATATATGTTTTTACAGAGTACAATATTATAAAGTGCTATTTTTCATATTAACAACACATTACTTTTTTTCCGGTTGGTCCTCCCGCATTCATTTCAATGAGGAAAGATGATTTGCGACGTGAGCGTTTTGAGTTGAGTATTTCAAGGCACCACTGTAATAGCTTTGTATTCAATTAAACAGGTCCACATTTCACCAAAGTATATTTAGAAAGAAACTGAGACAGGATCATCATTATTTCAGCTGGTGTACTTTTGTTGTCGTTTGGTGGTGTGCCATAACATTTTTCGAACAAAAGTTTGGGAAATACTGTTATAATAAGATGTGAAAGTGAAAGATACAAGTGGGGAACAAATAAATTGGAGGGGGGAAAAAAATAAGCACAACAAAATGCCATTCATGTTTCTGCACATGAGAGGCTACTAACAGTCAGGTAGTTAGAGTTAAGGCCCGACAGTATTATGTGGTTCATTTGCCAGTCTTCAGGCCCATTCTGAAAGCATTGTAAGGTAAATGTAATATTCTTGGCACCTTGAAATGTAACGGAATCGTAAAAAGGCGCTGACATCTGGCGTGATTCATTTATTCTTAACAGCGATAAGGGCAGTTGATGCCTTCTATGGACAAAAACCAGTTGAATTTAGCTGAAGCTGATGATGGCTTGTAGTGATTGTGAGCTTTTATCGGGCAGGATGGCAAATAAATCATAAATACACTTTCAGCATTGAGCAAGCCACACAAAGACCTGCTTCAAAAGAGCTTTGCACAATAACATTCCTTCCATAAATAAAGCAATGGCTTTGATAAAGACATAAAGGTCATATGAAGGTGAGAAAATATTGGCTAGTTTTTCTGGGAACGTCTTTTGTTTTCCTTTTTTTTTTTTTTGGTAACAAAATTTCAAAGCAAAAAAACCTTTTGGTTTCGTGAAAAAGAAAATATCAACGGTATACAATATCACGCACTTTTCAAGTAATTTAGTGTAATTGTGCTACCTTGTGTTGCTATTATCACAAGCTGCATGAAAATGGAGACCGACTGCATGAATGAAAAATGTTGACGGCATTAGCAACAGACGATCCAATCGAGCCAGAAAACGCAACATACACAAGTTCTTGTTTCATTACAGTTGCCCATTCCCAAACTACAGTAGTTCACGCCGTTCTCAGTGGGCAAGTGGCTGGGCTGTATCGTGACCCTGTAAACAAGGAACAGAGGATCCACACAGAGGATCAGAGAGCCCAGCAAACAGTCAAAAGACCTGTGCAGATGTGCAGGGTCAACGTTTTTGACCCGTCTCTGATAAGGCCACGTGAGGTACAGTACAGAATTGCTTTAAGAAGAAGCCGCCAGAGAATGGGATGTCTGGCTCTTGCTGGAGTCATCTTCACTTGTGCTATTTGCATTTGCTGATGTGAGAAGACGGGGGATAATTACATTGGTCAGTGGCAAATTTTAATCAGAATAGAACAGTGTCAATTCTGTCTTGAAGCCATTGAGGCTAACGGAGTGAAGCCATCGAGGCAAACGGAGAGACCACTCTGGGCAGGATTATTCTGCTTAATTTGACAGTGGCATTAAAAGAGTACCGTAGTTTAGAACATTGATTCTCCTTCTACAGAGCTTGAGTTTAACTATAAACCAGAAACAGAATGTGGCATGACAGAAATAGATTTCGCTATGTGTTACTATACAAAAAAAATATGTATTTCCTCCATTTTCGGCCAATCCCAGCTGGCTTTGAGCGAGAGGCATGATACACCCCGGACTAGGTGCTAGCCATAGCGCACAGTGTACAAACACACAAAGAACCATTCACAATCACTTGCACACCTAAGGACAATTTAAAGTCTTTGATTAAGTAAAATTGGTGAAATGTAGAGGGAACCTGGTTCACCCATAGACAACCCACACAAACAGGACTAGATCATACAAAACTCCACATGGGAAGGCCATGACCCAGATTTTAAATAGCTAACCCCCGAACTGTTAGAACTGAGCAACAACCGGCCTTATAGTTGACTGTACATCTTTTTACATGAGCGAACACAGGCAGCGGAAGTGAAGATGACGCCAGGAAGACTCACGTGAAAAGTCCATTCGAACTGTTGCCAAATGATCCCTTTGTGTAGATGCTAAGACAGATGCTAATACTGACAACCGTAGTGACATGTAAACTGTGAGACAGTGAAACTAGTCTTGCGGAAAATAAGCCAATTTTCCTCTGTAGGTTTTTCCGAGCCAAGTGTGGAGTGACATTCGCAACTGAGGAGGCAGCAACAAAAACAATCGCAATCACTGCGCCGAGGCCAAGGGCCCCTGATGACTCGGACCCGAACAGACATGCTTCCAAGAGCTGTAGGACTAAGCTAATTTTGGTAGCGCTGTTGGTGTGTGTGCATGTGGTTGCATACATGGCATCAAGTCATTGTGATTTTTTTTTTTTTTGCATAATTCTCAATTGGCAGATTTTTTGTGTCATAATTGTATGCCCGTGTGAATTAAAGTGACAGTGTAAATCAATGCACGTAGCCATTACGTTGCATATCGAGCACACATGCAAACACACCAAGTAGATGCCATGTGGTTAACATCTTCTGGAGCATGCTGGCTGCGGCTTGCAGCATGCTTAAAATAGCATAGTGGGAAACAACAAAACAAAACAGACAGACAGGCAGACGGACAGACAGACAGAGGTCAGTGCTTCACGTGTCATACACACGCTCGCCAATCCTGCGCTGCGCCCTTGCATCCTTTTCTCTCAGTGTACCGTCCCTTGCTCCCCCAATTCACACACCATCTTGATGGCTACGCTGGACTCTCGCCATGGGAACCCACTCCCTCGCTTCCTCCCTTGTCCGCATCCATGTCTCTGCCATTGCTCCTGCAGTTTTCCTGCAGCCTCCCCCACTGGTAGCCGGCAAAGGTGGGGCTAATTGGGAGGTACTTGAAGATGGAATGCCTGCGGATGAAGTCCATTCCAAAAGGCAGGTCATAGGACCGCATCCCTTCCAGCTCCGCAGTGCTGGGACCCGACCCGCGCTTCAGCTTCCTGATACCTCGCTCCTCAGGAGAACCTGACGAGAGGTGAAGGTCATCTCCAGTCATCGTCTGATTTTCAACATCCATAACATGACGAAGTAGTGGTGGGTGCATATGGCGGAAAGTGAAGTGTGCCTTTGGGCACTGCGTGACAACATATTTTCACGCAGCTCTGCAAGCAAATTCATTGCACGCCTTTCGTAACTTTGAATGTTGTTACTGATGTAAAAGTGAGGACCCCCAGCACAATAATATGACATTCATTTGACTTTTGTTTCATACGGTAGCTGCATATATAAGTGGCTCACCTGGAATAGTATTGTCCAAAATAAAAGCAACCGAGCCTCCGACAAACATGGCGGTGGTAAGGAGAACGTTTAACACTTGGTCAATCTCAACAATGCCTGAAAAGAGCAAGAAAAAAAAAAGCTATTTCAACAGTGAAAGCTTAATACAGCGAAACTTTGCATCTCTTTCCAAACTATAATAAATGTATTACTTATGTTGTTGGGATGAAATCCCAATGGTGACAAAAAAAAATCTTTTCCGATTCATCTCAGTAAATTATAATATGAAAATTTTAACTTATTTTAATTGCTCAGCTGTCAAGGAGTGACAGACACTTCATTACATTGGTTTAGACTTGCTAGTTCACAAAATGAAAACAATGATTGTCCCACCCTTCATCAAACTGGACCAACCACATGATGAACAGCAAACTGGTGAGATTTGCCGTCAGTCCGCTGCACTCACCTGTGACCAGCGGGTTCTGTTTGAGGTAACTTGGCAGCATCAGGCCAAAGAAGATGGAGAAACCCAGAACAAAAAGGTTCCTGGAAGAGTTGAGGTCGATGAACTGCAGGTTGGAAAGCCCCACCGCCGTGATCATGCCGAACAAGGTGCAGAACAGAGCCCCCAGCACAGGGTCCGGCAGGGAAGCGAACAGGGCGCTGAATTTCCCCACGAGGCCCAGCAGCAGCATCATGACGGCTCCGTACTGGATCACACGCCTGCTGCCCACCTGGAGATCAGATCGCCTCATTTATTCTCCTTATTACATATTCACCACGCCGCCCACTAAACACTTTCATGGCTAATAGCACCCGGATGTTTTAAGCTTTGCTTTTGCCATTTTGTGGGAGAATATTTGAAGCTGACCGTTAAAGTCAAATTTTGGCCTGCAGCTCAAAGCAAAAAAAAAAAAAAAAAAAAAAAGATCACAACTTGGGCACTTGTAAATCAAGGTACCACTGTACCATAAGATAATTGTCCAGGGTTGAAAGTTTGATTGATTGCAGCTGTGAAATACCTTTGTTATTCCAAGGACACCAATATTTGGGCTGGAGGATGTGGAACCATTTCCTGTCCCAAAAAGACCATCCAGCACACAGGAAATGCCCTCAATAAATATGCCCCTAAGGAGATAAAGGATTTGAGGATGCTCTGTGTCATAAGAAAAAAATTTAAAATCCTTGGAGTAGTGAAACAAAGGCTTGACGGAGCTCACCTATTGATGGCGTGGATGGGAGGAGGAGGGGCGCACGACAGACGGGCGCAGGCATAATAGTCCCCGATGGACTCTATTATGCTGGCGACTACGGCGCTCATCATCCCGATGACGCCTGCGGCCGTTACACTAGGGAGGCCCCACTGGACTGAAAGGTCAAAACATTTATTTTTAACATGCAGCTTTTAATGTGATACACAATGGACAGCTTGCTGATTGGATTGTGCGAGTCGATCAAAAATTGCGGCTGATGTGCGGATCATTGCATGTGTAGATGCAATATCTGAAGCAGGGCTGTCTCAATTTTTTTTTTTCAGGCATGGTGTGAAATACAACAAGGCCTTGAGTTGGACACCCCTGACTTAAAACTTCAAAGACTATGCTGTTGAGCCGGTGGCTACAAGGAGACACTCACAGGGGTAGGGGATCTTGAACCAAGGTGCAACCGAGAGGATCCCTTGACGTGCATCCGTGCGGGCATAGTAGCCATATTTGTCCTTTTCAGGTGGGAAGACATCCGACACCGTGAAGATGAAGCACAGCAGCCATGAAACCAGGATGGCCATGATGATCTGGGTGCAAAACAAGTGAGAAAGGCAATCAAATACACTTGAACTTTCAAACAGACTGATGTCAAATTGTTTGGTTGAATGTTTGCCAGTTCACAGCAATTGTGCAGCAACACTTTTAGTCTAAACAGTGGCAAATGGCTTTTGAGAGTTTAATAGTTCCTCGGGAATGAAAAAGTTGAAAAGGATTATAGAGACTGTAGCGTTCATTGAATTGCAATCATGGTAAAGTGCATCCTTATCGGTTAGATTAAGGTGACATATGATTAATTATTTACATTTGGTGATATTTGCTAATTCAGCAAAACAAACAAAACAAAAACTAAAAAAATAAACATTCCATTCAAGCAAAGTAATTAGGCTGCTTCAAAAACTAGAAATTCATGGCTTCAGACAACCATCGGCCATTTGGATTTTTCCATGCATTCCAAGCCAAGACTCCAAGTCAATGAAAACCCAACTTGCATGTACTTGTTCTCCATTACCCGTTTGAATTTGTCAAAATTATTTAGCTATTCCTGTCAAAGAGATGGTACTTCAACAACGTAAACTTCATGAAACTTCACTTCCTGACCAGCAGATGGCCTAAGACACACTGCATACGGTGGCACACTTGAATTTTCCAACAAGCCAACAGTCTTGACACATGATGTAAAACGATGTTGAGTAACAAGTAAAATGTGCGTGCCAAAAGTCTGTTAGAGACGCTTTCACCAACGTTTACACAGCAAGGAGACAGACTCAAGGGTGTACCTACTGGGAACATTTTGAACACCTGCAGCCTGTAAGAAGTCCAGCCTTTCTTTGCTTTGTACACTGGCAATGGGAATTGGACATTTCGGGCATACTGGGAGAAGAGTAGCACCAGGAAAATAGTCCTGAAAAGAAGAAAAAAACAAACAACTTAGTTAAAGTCAAGAATGTCGCCTCTTAAATTTGCTAAGAATCCTCATTTATTAGCTAACTATGAAGTAAGCCATTTAGCACACAAAGACAGAGACATTTTGTTGAACAGCATTTTCAGTAAGTATCTAACTGTTTTGGCTCCATTGGGAACTGTCACAATCCAGTCAACCAATAAAAGAGGTCACTAAATAAAGTATACCCCACCACATAAGCAGGTGTGTCACTATTCTGATGCAGTGACGGCAAAATACTAGCTCATTTGTGTGAGAGTGCCAGAGTTAAACCCTCACTGGTTGCAGTGTCCTACATAACCTTGTAAATGAATTGTACAAATGTGAAAAACAAGTGGAACCGGGCAGGATGAAAGTAAATCGCAGTGACGCCACAAATGCTTCACTTGAGGCCTCGGTGTTTGGCTGTGACTAATTGTGACGTAAAGATGATTGAATTTCAACAACAGCTCAAAATGTTTAATCTGATTGCGTTTCCCGTTGTATACCTGAAAAAGGACCCCACACAGACAAATCAATTAACCTGAACGCTTGAGAAAGAGCAGCTCAGTGGCAATAACAAGCCAATTACACTGGTCGGGAGCAACAACCCTGCGGCTATGACGTAGAGAGCCATGACATGTGGCGGATGATGTCGCCATGTGAGCGAGGTACCAGGTCATCTTACCATGACTCATTATAAAAAAAAAAAAAAAAACAAAACGGGATGTTGTTTTGGGGGGGTCAAAATAGGTTCACCTGGAATGGATAGTGCATGTACGTCTTATCTCTATGTATGTAAAGTAAGACGAGCCAGAAAACGCAGCATTTACTTGAACATGTGAACTTACAGCATAGCTATGCCCCAGTGTTTTCCTGCCCTCTCCCCTGCCGCCTGGAAACCAGAGAGGCCAATGAGGGCCACGGTGGGGGTGATGGTCAGAGGTCCGATATACTTCAACAGGAGCCCGGGTAGACCGAGCGCACCGATGCACACCTCCACCAGGGATGACACAATGATCGCTCCTTGGATCTGGAGGGGGGAAAAAAAAAAGTCAGTTGGAGTTAAACTCATGTGTAGCACAACTACACAATTTCATGTATGTAAATATGAGCAGTTATTTATCCATCCATCCATTTTCTAATCCACGTATCCTCACAAGGGTCGCTGGAGCCAATCCCAGCTGTCTTCAGGCAGTAGGCGGGATACACCCTGAACTGGTTGCCAGCAAATCGCAGGGTACACAGGGACAAACAACCATTCGCGCTCACAATCACACCTAGGGACAATATGGAGCCCCCAATGAACCTAATTCCCATGTTTTTGGAGTGAGGGAGGAAACCGGAATACCCGGAGAAAACCCACGTGGGCACGGGGTAGAACATGAAAACTCTACATAGGAAGGCCGGAGCCGGAATCGAACCCTGCACCTCTGCACTGAGAGGCTGAGGTGCTCACTAGTTTTCCCACCGCGCCGACCCAGTTATTACTTAGTTCTCATCAATTAACTATAAAAACACCTTTTTGCATTGAGGTTTCTCTTATGCTTTGTACTCCTTTGCCTTCACTATTTATTCTGATGATAATTCCTGCGGCTTATCACTAAATTATATTTAATCAATTTAGTGTGAGTCACTGTTGAGCTTGAGGACAAAAAGAGTCACTCGACTGGGTATGTGTCAGCAGAATATGTTTATGCATTTTCATAAGCCAGACAAAGTCACATGTGCTTGTTGCTATGTTGGCATGTCTCCAGCTACTGTTTGGTAAGCAGCTATTCCAAACATTTTATAACATGTTACGACAGTGCTTCCTTTGGAGTCTTATTTTCGGCTGAGATAATACCATTTTCATTTCCCATTTCGCTCACAAAACATTCAAGTGTGTGCATGTTTTTTTTCCGTTTCTCACTTCTCGTATCCTGGGATGCCAGATGTGCTCTGTGTGGAGAATTTCTGTGCTGTTTGTCTCGAATATCACTAAGAAGAGAAAAACAAGATTAAAATGTTAGGTCCGTATCACTGACAGCGACGAGAATGAATCTTGATGAGATCACGCTGATAATCTTCGACTGGACGTCACACCGGAGATGGAGAAGATGCTCTCACCTGTGTTGTTACACTTCCATTTGTCCAGAGACAGAATGGCTCTGGCTGGGGCAAGGAAGGCAAAAGCGCTGGCCTGGAACAAAGGCAACCTGGGACACCAGCAAACACTCATCAGCAACCAAATAAAATCAAGTGATCCATGCATCCATTTTCTGTAACGCTCGTTGGCGCCGTAAGCGAGCTGACACCTCTCCCATCTGACTTCTAATGAGGCGTAGCGTATGCCCTTACTGCTCACTAGCCAATCACAAGTCAAATGGGCAGCAGTCACATAACTATGGACAATTTTAGAATGTGGGAGGAAGCTTGGGGAAACCCCGCGCAAGCGCGGGGACAACATACAGATTCAAACCCCAAACCTCAGAGCTGCGAGGAAGACATGTTTATCTAGGCATTGGAAAGAACAGCGTTTTAAGTGTATGTGGATGGATGTTGAAAGTGCTGTCTATGTGTGCGTGCATGCGCATGGTGTACCTGCAGCCCAGCGTGGTCTGAAGGAGGGTTGTGATCCCCACACAAAAGAAAATGGTCCCTATGAGCTGGCTTGTGGCCCACTGGTCAAAGCCGACACACATTGCTTCGGCGAGGAGGAATGGCACTGCTATAGTTCCACTGAAACATGTCAAATAATGCTACAAACACAACACGGGCATTTTGTTAGACACGACACATGATCTTTTTTTCACAACATTTTCCCACAGAGCTTTAAAATTAATCACTTGCTGGTCAGTTTGTTTAGTTAATTCTACACCAGTGTTTCCCAACACAATGCAATATATAAGATTATTGTTACTTATACAAGATCCAATACAAGAGCTGTGTCAAAAATACTTCCTTTGACTAAGAGGTATTTATTTAACAAAATGCGCATAAAACTCTCCATTACAGTGACTGCATATTCAAGTTTAACCTTTGAAGTGTGTGAAGACTCTGCTCTCATGTGTATTTTCTTTTTAAATAAAATAATTTCAGAGATGGTTCCGGTTTCAATATTCATAAACTATTTTACTACTACATAATTTTTTTTTTTACATTGTTTACTGTTGTTATTGTTTGCGTTTTATTGTAAATTTGTATTACATTTCTTGTGTTGTGGTGTTGCAATGAAGTGAGGTTATTATGCTATTATTCTTCTACATTGTTTGGATTGTCCATGTTGTACTATTTTTTTTTTTTTTTTTTTTTTTACTTATTCATAAATAATTAAAAGGGAGTGTTTACCTGTAGGCCTAAAAACACACACAGGTACCAAGGCGGAGTGTCTTCTATGATATAGATCATGTCCATTCTCCTCGGATCGGTGCTGTCTGAGCTGTCCAACGTCTCTGACAACGAGCTCTACATACACACAAAAACATACACACTAGTGAGACACATTCTATTCTTCTCAGGATGAAGCAGCTCCAACTATGAATTAATATCTGCGCAGTACCAGGGCTTGTCTATTAGGGGAAGCTTTATTTGTACAAACACACTTTTGGAAGAAAACTTACCAGTGTTATTAGTACACAGCGAAACCTCATTCATCTTGTGGGATACGTTCTAGACCCACTCGCATTCAGTGAAGAGCCACCACAAACAGACCATATAAATGGTGTTTTCATAAATCATTTTAAACATTTATGAACACAATTTGACTAGCATAAAATGCAGCATTGTATTGCAGTGCTTGCGGACACGAATGTGCCTGAAAATAAATAAATAAATAAATAAATAAAAATAGCAATTTACCGCAGATTTCGTGATACACCTGGGATTTTCCAAAAGATGAATATGTGTCACAAATAAATTTGCCATTATTAAAGGGATTGGTAACAAACTGCAACACAGCAAGTGGACATTGTATTACAATTTTTGTCAAAGTTGGACTGACTTATAAAACTATATGAAAATGACTGCCGAGGAGAAATGCGGAGATACTGCTGGAAGAGCAGAGTCAGACTGGGCAAAACAAGGTGCATCGCATCGCTCCCTGTAACATAAATATGGACGCAAACAACATTGTGCGGTGACCATAACGTAAGGTCACCTTTAATTTTGAGCAGGGAACCTGTAGTTTACATCCCAGTTTGCCACCAATTTTGATTTGACATTGAAAATTCCCATATTGAGATGCTTACTCGGCTTTCAGATATCAGAATCTCACACTGTAATTGGATGTGCTTATTTAGAATGTACTTCTTAGGGTTACGGATCAGAATTAAATTTCATTTTGACTATGAAGATTCCATCATCATATCGGCCATTTCACTAATTGACATCACAGATGTCTGATTGTAGCACTTCGTAGACGATTATTACATGTACATCGCTATTACAAGCGTACATTTCATGCAAGCCGGTGCATGGAAACATCTGACCGTCAGTCATCTTGATAAGTCACAAAATGTGTCATAGGGTATATTCACATTCAGTCATGGTTACCTTTTCTGCTCCTTGAACATCTTTTGTGTAGATGGCCATCAGCTCAGTGTTCTCTGTATCCTGGTCCCCACTGGCTCCGCCCACTCCATTGACCACCACCTAACCGCAAAGATTTGTAATGGTTAAAATGGGTTCTAAAAACACATAATGCTTGCACAACAGTTAACCACTGCACAAATATGACTTTAATGGAACAGAAGACCAATCAATTAGGTAAGTGATAAGTTTATACTTCCTCCGACTCCTTTTCTAACATGTAAGCAGGTAAGCCGTAATGGCTTACCTGCTTACATCTTCGAAAGTCTACAAAAGAGTTTTAAGAATAACATCGTTTTATATCCAGTGATATGGAGCCCTCTCAGCTAAATCTTATCAATCGTTTCATCACCTACTTATCTAGGTGGCCTTTAGGTATAAACGGTGGCCAAGGAAGTGATGTGTGATGAAACAGCAAAGTGGGTCTAGGATGTGGCAAATGGCGTGCAGGTTTTCTAAGGAAGCATTTGGATTGTTTCCACGCGTGTACGTTGCAGAAGCTACAGTGTATGGTGTCAGTACTGCATTATATATATTTACATTTGCACAGTAGTAACAAAAAAAGATTGACCACGTGTAAGGAAAGAACACCTGGAAGTTTCGGTGTGACAAGGGGAGGCAAACAACCAAGGAGGAAAAAACAAATCTGTCTCATTTCCTTCCCCTTTGAGTTTATGTTTTGGGTGATCACCGGCAGCACGTCATCAGAGAGGCTTTGCAGCTAAAACAAGTCAGCAGGATTCAAGGCTACTTTCTGTTATCGGGAAGAATTATTAAAACACTGACTTGCGGCTGGAGGAAGGTCGAAAAATATTTGTTGGAAGAACGTAGAAAAACAGACAGACTGTAATTAGTTGACTTTTAAGGGGGATTCAAGTCAAAAATCTTTATATGTTCAATGTGCCCCCACGATTATAAACATGGCATTGTAATTAATATTGTGTTAGTGGAATATCAACAAAGCAGGAAAATCCATCAGTTTTTAAGCATCTCAGCAGGCGGCCATTGTGCCTTGTGCCGTCGACTGAAAATGACATCACACGACCAAATTCAGAAATCAGGTGAGCCATGACGATCATTACCTTAGGCACTTAATGTCATTTTATTTTTATTCAACGACAATTAGCAAAATGAACTATGACACAAGGGGTGGGTGGGCGGTTAGATGACACCAACGCTCTGCATTAAAGCATTTCGAATAACTTTCCAATTAGAGCCATTTAACCTCTCAAGTGAATCAAGGACAAGTAACCATAAGGCTGAACATTGTGGTTCTCGGCCAAATCATTTCAGGCACAGCCTCAAGTATGTTGTTACTTTTCTTTGCCAATTAAAAAGACAATAAAAATACATGCATGTACCGGAATGGGGTAGAAGTCAGCTCCATGTTTGTCCTCGTCTTCGTATTTGCCTCCCTCGCTCCCAGTGTCAACGGGCTTGGAGGTGGTGTTCTTGCCCACACCCATGCTTGTATTGGCGTCGTCTGCCCACTCGTCTGCTTCGTCACCTTTGTCTCGCTCCGGTGTCAACGCTGCAGATGAGTCCTTCGGAATGATTACATCATCCAGGGACGATTTATCTGCTGGGAAAACAAGAGAGTTGGGCGGAGAGATGAATTTCAGGATTAAATTAATTTAAGGTTCACATGCGATAACCTGAGAAGCTGCCAGGCTGCACTTATTTGAGCCCTGCTTTTTAATTGTTGTCGTTTCCTGCTCAATTCATTAATTAAAAAGAGATGACCAGAGAAAGGCATCCAATCCAAAACATCTGTTTGGATTCTAAATTATGCATGAATACTACAGCTATGACAGAAAATATGTTAGGATTTTGCTGCCAGGCACAGAGACAAAAGGGAAAGAAAGGATGCAGTGTCTAAAAAGTTTGGGATGACAGCAACAATGTTAGTAGGAGAGATGAAGAAAAAAACGAGAGCGGATGCTCTGTTTGTAATAGTTCAGATGTCACAACAACTGTTGTTTGGGTAACATGAGGCCTTGAGTTCTGTCAGTCTGTACAGTACACGTCCTTTGGCCCAGGCTGGTGAAAAGCCTTCCATTCTGAGCCCGAAACTGTCATTGGCTTCATTGAGTGGATATGGTGTGGGATCATGAATGTTGCTAAAAGTCACCCTTGCATAACAGTGGGGGGAAAAAAAAATCACTTTTAATCTTGTAATGGACTAAGTGATTTTTAAAAAATATATACCACACTCAAATATGATGCTTTGATCTGGAAAACAATTTTCCTAATGGGCAGTTTTATGCACAGAAATTCTTATCATGTTAGTGGCCTAAACACAAGGCTATTAAGAGGTGCAACAATTTTAGAACAACAGAACACATATTCATCCAACCATTTTCCGATCCGCTTGTCCTCACAAGGGTCGCGGGGGGTGCTGCAGCCTATCCCAGCCGTCTTCGGGTAGTAGGCAGGGGGACACCCTGAACCGGTTGCCAGCCAATCGCAGGGCACACACAGAACAACTACCATCCACGCGCACACTCACACCTAGGGACAATTTAGAGTCTTCAATCAGCCTGCCAAGCATGTTTTTGGAATGTGGGAGGAAACCGGAGTACCCGGAGAAAACCCACGCAGACCCGGGGAGAACATGTAAACTCCACAGAGGGAGGCTGAAGCTGGAATTGAACCTCTGCACTATGAGGATGACGCGCTAAACCACTGGACCACCGGGCCGCCCACACATATTCAATTTATGCCAATTGAATTACAAAGGAAACAGTCTGAGGGTAGCTAAAAAAAATAGGATCCAGAAAATCGGATATTAAAAGTGTTAAACACTATTTTCGAGTGTTAGCCTGCAAAACAACCCTGTCCATAGTACTGTATTTAATTTAAGTGGAGTCAGGATTTAATGTATTACGATGAAAAACTTGAAGGTCGAAAAAGATCACATTGAATTTATAAATGGTTGTTATTTAGTGGGGATGTTTTTCAAGTTTCTGGGATTGGCTGGTAATCAGTCAAGATTAAAAACAATAGGCTCAAGATCATCTGTACTTGCAGATGGATCAAAGTTGTACTTGTTCTCGCGCTGCGTAACCATCACTGGCAACATGCATAACACATTGCTGTAAACTGAAAACAAGGCGGAAGGCAATTGCATATCAAGGCGAAAGTTCCACCTCGGCATCCTCGATGATCCGATCACAAACTGACCTGCTGGCCTAAACAACGTCCAAAAATCATTCTATTTTCATCAGAAAATACTTTTTACAGTGTGTATGTTATTTATTGAAATGTAGCGAGTCTTCAATTAAGACAACAAACGGTTAATGTTGGTGTAATCACGTCAAAATAGCCGTCCACGCATGTTATGAATGGATGCGGAAGTTTCAAAAACGATTCAAAGAAATTCATAACAAATTAATCTTTTAATGTGACATCCCAGTTTAACACATTTTTTTTAACAGAATGAAAAAGTTTCCCTGGATCGGTGAGCCAAAAGTCAACCAATAAATTACAAAAGAAACAGATATGTAAAAGAAAGAAGCCGCACTGGACTATAAAGCCGCAAGTGTCCACATTGTGACATGGGATATTTACACAGAAAGGTGTTACACCTGTTTTTTTTCCTCTTTGTACTCATATATTATAAAGGCTGCCGATTTTCTGGTGTCTGCACTCAAAAATATTCGTCACATCATAATTTGATACATTGGGATTTCTTGAGTTCAACTTCAGACATATATATTTTTGTGTTCAGGTAAATTCTCTTACTTTGCTAACAGTTTCAGCAGTCCTAATTTTCACTGCTCACCAAGCATCTTGATGGCCCAAAAGTGGATCTGCCCCAAAACAGGAACAAGGAAACGACCGTAAAAACAAACACTGATGTGACGTGTTTTGTAGAATAATGGGTTCCCCGAATGGCATTCAGTACTTTCCAAAGTCACAATGCTCTCACCTCAGACACACTTGATACACATCGGAGATGATCAGCACCATATCTGTGACTTTTTTTTTTTGATATCACAAAATTAAGGTTAGTTTCAGATCAGGCGACAGGGGTTATATGTCGGGAGTTGCTGCCGCTCTCGGATGTGAGACCAACCCCTCTGAGAAAGGGAACTCACCATTCTTGTAAAAGCACAAAACAAGGGCGTTGAAAACACTGGCGGCATGAAGCTCATTTTCCCATAAAAAGCCGTAATGTAAATTAGCTGTTTAATCCAGAAAATACTGTATTCCAAAATAATTACTGAATAAAGATGTTTTCCGCCCTTAACCAAACTGCACCAACTGCAGCCTCGCCACATAATTCATTCCGAGCTTTCACCACATTAAAACGATCTCGCGGCTTGCTGTGTGAAAAAATTTGGATAAGTGAAATACCTAGTTGACACATCCCATCACTCTTGTCAATCTGCATGGCTGGGAGCATCTGTGTGGGAAGTGAGAGAGGGAGATAGAAAGAAAGAGAGAGCGAGCAAGTGTGTGAGAGAGAGAGAGAGAGAGAGACAGAGCCTGAGCGCAGGAGAGGAGAAAATGGGTTTAAGGAGGAAAGTAGAAGGAGAAGTAGGGGTTGAGGCAGAAGGGATGGGTCAAAGACAGGAAGGAGCAGGGAGGTGAAACAAAAGTTAATTGGACACACATGATTATTCAAAGCAAAAATAAGTAGTGATTGAATATTATTAGTGATTGTCCCCACCACCCCCCAATAAGTTTATACATGGAGAGGGGACGATGTGTTTTATCCATGCAAGAAGAATCAGGCAAAGCCAAGATGATGAGTGACTGCATATGCATGTAAGTTATACGTTAAAAGTTATACACCTAAAACATTTTGCATAAAAGTACAACAAAAATCCAAAAAAAAAGTCCGATTTTTTTTTCCCGATAGAAAAACTAATCTAGAATATTAAACATTTTCTGGGCTTTTTATCTTGTTCAAGCCATTCCTTATGGAAACAATTTAATCCGACGTGCAAAGAAATGTGTGCCGCCAAGTAAAAAGGTCAAAAGACAATTGATCAATTGAAGACCTTTAAACACAAAAGAACATAAAACAAAAAATATTGAAGAAGCGCATGTTCATTTCATTGTGTTTACATGTGAAATTTGTATTGGCCCAGTTAGGTTAGTATCTGTGAACTGTGGGCGGCCCAACACAGTCGTGCAGTGGCCCCGAGCCACTGTAAATGCACAAGGCTGTGTGGACTTGTGAGTCACGTCATATGTTTGAAACGGGTTAGTCAGCCTTGCGTGTGAGCATCTGGGCCTGAGATGTTTACTGCCTTAAAAGAGTTCTCAATTTGTATTTGCCAATTTGGACTTTTTCCATGTTCCATCTATCCATGTTTGAAAAGGATAAATTAAGTCAATCCAATAGGGTATTAAATTAATAAGAGCAAGCCTGAATTTGGAAGGCCAGTGTCACAATATTACGCAACTATGGTACATAATAGGGCTGTCCGATTCATCAAAATTTTAATCATGATATCGATTTTGGATTCTCGATTTTTAAAATGCTATAGAACAAAAACAATTAAGGCGGAATGTTGCGTTTACAAGCTCCCGACGTGAAAGTAGCGTGCATGTACCACGTTGCTTGCAAAGCAAGGGTGGCATCGCGCAGCAAATGTGATTCTGCCATCCCTGAGTGTGCTTTAATTTGTTTCATGGCAGCCTAGTTGGAGTTTACTGTGAAACTAAAACACACAAAGATAATTACGCACATTGTACATCTAAATTCAAACCAAGCTTCATTTTTAAAACATCGCTAGCGCTAATTCTAAAGTCATTGGAGGATCCCATTCAAATGCTAACAGAAAATTAGCATTGACTTCGGGAGTGATATTCCTTCAAATAACCCACAAATACTGTGGAAACACACACACACACACACACACACACACACACACACACACACACACACACACACACACACACACACACACACACACACACACACACAGAGTAAGATGACACTACTAGAAGGTACAGATTCTTTCAAATCTGCAAAAAACAAGTTATATGACATATACGAGTTCAATCACAACTTCTTCTATTCTCATTCTGGACGTCATTCAGGCACAGCACCATGCCGTACCCTAGAGGCCAGAACGTGTAGGAACAGCGGGTTTATGTTTTTAGAATTGCTTTTATATTATTATTATTAATTTACTAATTTCTCTTTTCATTGTCCGTTCAAGTCATATTTAAAGTTGAGTTTTCAAGGATTCATGGAATTTTCTTTTCCTCATAATTCAAAGGCACGTAGATCCAAGGACTTTTTTTGCCACACCAATCCACACAATCCTCGAGATCCCAAGCTAGCCCAGTAAGTCCCGAGAGATGTGAAAATAACAAGATAAAATACATGTGATAAAGAGAGAAGGGTAATGCACATTCAAGGCATCAATGTGTGCAAAGATGTAAGGCACAGGTGTCAAACTCAAGGCCCGTGGGCCAGATCCGGCCCGCCACATCATTTTATGTGGCCCGCGAAAGCAAATCATGTGTGCCAACTTCCATGATCCTTGCTAAAATCTGTACCGAAATGTCAAATTGTCACGTGTAATAAATAACGTTGAGATTTTGCAATAATTTTGT